ATAAATGTGATACATCACATCAAAAAACTCAAGGACAAAAACCATATGATTATCTCAATAGATACTGAAAAAGCATTTGACAATTCAAAATCGCTTCATGATAAAGACTCTCAACAAATTAGGTATGGAAGGAAAGTATCTCAACACAATAAAAGCCATTTATGACAAGCCCACTACCAGTATCATTCTGAATGGGGAAAAACTGAACGCTTTTCCCTTAAGAAAAGGAACAAGACAAAGATGCCCACTCTCACCACTTCTATTTAACATAGTACTGGAGGTACTAGCCAGAGCATTCAAGCAAGAGAAAGAAATAAAGGGCATCCAGATTGGAAAAGATGAACTCAAACTGTCCATATTTGCAGATGATATGATACTATATATAGAAAAACCGAAAGACTCTATCAAAAAACTCCTAGAGCTGGCTAATAATTTCAGTTATGTTGCAGGATACAAAATAAATGCCTCCAAATCAGTTGCATTTATATTCTCCAATAATGAGCTAACAGAAAGAGAAATCAAGAAAGTAAGCCCATTTACAACAGTCACACACACAAAAAAGTACCTAGGAATCAATTTAACAAAGGAGGTGAAAGATCTCTGCAATGAGAACTACAAACCACTACTGAAAGAAATTAAGGAAGACACAAAAAGATGGAAAGACATTCCATGCTCCTGGATTGGAAGAATTAACATTGTGGAAATGTCTATACTACCCAAAGCAATCTACAGATTCAATGCAATCCCCATCAAAATACCAATGACATTCTTCACAGAAATGGAAAAAACAATCTGAGCATTCATGTGGAACAACAAAAGACCCCAATTAGCCAAAGCAATCCTGCGCAAAAAAAAGTAAAGCCAGTGGTATAACACCACCTAATTTCAAATTATACTACAAAGCTATAGTAGCCAAAATAGTATGGTACTGGCATAAAAATAGACACTCAGACCAGTGCAGCAGAATAGAGAATGCAGAAATCACCCCTCAGGCTTACAGCCATCTGATATTTGACAAAGGAAACAAAAACATACATTGGGGAAAAGACTGCCTCTTCAATAAGTAGTGCTGGGAAAATTGGATATACATAAGCAGAAGAATGGAACTAGATGTGCACCTCTCATCAAATACTAAAATCAACTCAAAATGGATTAAAGACTTAAATATAAGACCTGAAACTGTAAAATTACTAAGGGAAAATATAGGTGAAACATTTCAGGAACTAGGTCTGGGCACAGACTTTATGAACATGAGCCCAAAAGCACAAACAACAAAAGAAAAAATAAACAAATGGGACTATATCAAACTAAAAAGCTTCTGCACAGCAAAGGAAACAATCAACAGAGTGAAATGACAACCTACAGAGTGGGAGAAAATTTTTGCTAACTATGCATCCAGCAAGGGATTAATATCCATAATATACAAGGAACTCAAGCAATTGCACAGTAAAAAAACAACCCAATAAACAAATGGGCAAAGGAGCTGAATATTCATTTTTCAAAGGAAGACATACAAATGGCCAACAGGTACATGAAAAAATGCTCAGCATCACTAGTCATGAGGGAAATGCAAATTAAAACCACACCGAGATATCATCTCACCCCAGTTAGACTAGCTATAATCAAAAAGACAGAGAATAACAAATGCTGGCAAGGATGTGGAGAGAAGGGAATGCTCCTACCCTGTTGGTGAGACTGTAAATTAGTACAGCCACTATGGAAAACAGTATGGAGGTTTCTCAAACAACTACAGATAGATCTTCCATACAATCCAGCAATCCCATTTCTGGGTACACACTCAAAGGAATGGAAATCATCATGTCGAAGGGATACCTTCACTCCCATGTTCGTTGCAGCTCTGTTCACAATAGCCAAGATATGGAACCAAACTTAATGTCCATCGATGGACAATTGGATAAGGAAAATGAGGTATATATTATACACAATGGAAATATAAATAAAAAATGGAAATTTTTTATGCCATAAAAAAGAATAAAATTCTCCCACTTGCAACAACATAGATGAGTTTGGAGAAACTTATGTTGAGTGAAATAAGCAAAGCACAGAAGGAAAAATACCACATGTACTCACTCATAGTAGGAGTTAAGAGAGAAAGAAGGAAGCAAAGAAAGACCACAGTGGTGTGGTTGGACTTGCAGAGGGAGAGAGCATACCTAGGGATACAAAGTGGAGTGGGGAAAAGGGGGATGGGGGGAAGGTCGGGGATAATTGAGGGGATAATTGGGTGGGAGACATAGGGTATAATGACAATTTGTGGTAATGGGCATGCTGCCAGTACGGATCTGGCCATCACATCTTAGGCACGAGTGGTGACAATTTGCTTTGTACCCCCTGAATATTCATAACCAATAAAAAAAAAGAACACAGATGTTCAGGTGTACAGTCCCAGGCCCCGAGTGAGACAGGTGCTTCTTGTAATGCATTTGTTTGGAGTTTGAGATCCTTAGACTCCCTCTAAAAGGCAGGTCTCAGGCAGGGCCACTCTTGCCCTGGTCTAGGGGGCAGTACTGCTCCAATGTGCTGAGTTCTTTGCTGCCTGAAAACAATCTACACATGCTGTGCCTTGTGCCTGGAACATTCTCTTTCCTCATCTTTGAAATCCTCCAGGTTTCATTTTTTAAATTCCCTCCTCCTCAGACAGCCTCTAAATCCAAACTAGACCCCACCAGCCTACTATTCTCCTGGAATTTGGTTCTTTTCCTTCTTAGCATTTATCACAATTAATGATAATGAGATCATTATAACTAGTTTGTGTATTTATGTCTTTATTATCTGTCTTTTGCACATGAATGTAAGCTTCATGAGGGAAGGGACCACATCTTCTTGTCCATCACTGCATGACCAGTGCTTAGCAGAGTGCTTGGCACACAGTAAGTGCTCAGGAAATATTTGTTGACTGACTCAGCTGCAAGTTTCTTTGCCTTTAATATCAGGATGTTAATGTCTGCCTCATAAATATTATTGTGAGGGTGGACAGAGAATGGGAGCAAGCAGCTCAACACACAGTAGGTGGTCAGCAAATGCTATTATTATTATACTTTCAGTGGCAGGTGAGGACTGAGGACTCTTGGAGGAGGGGACTTAAGGGTTGTTTAGAGTTGTACAGGTTTCATGAAATAGGAAGGACGTTTCGGGAGGGAACAGCCTGAGTGAAGGCATGGAGGAGAGAAAGTACAGGCAGCAGCTTATGTGGCTGGAGGAAGAGTGTGGCTTGGGCTAACTCTGTAGTTAGAAAGGCAGATTGGGGTCAGACCAGGGAGAGCCTTCAGTGCCGATCCAACACATCTAAACTTGGCCCTTAGGCAACAGGGAACCAAAGGATGTTTTTGAGCAAATGTGACAACTGAAGAAGTAGTATTTTAGAAAGATTAATTATGGCCGGTTAGCTCAGTTCGTTAGAGCACAGCCTTATAACACCAAGGTCACAGGTTCTAATCCTGGTACTGGCCAGCTGTCAAAAAATAAAATTATGGTAAATCTGTATCAGATGGGCCACGGAGGTGAAGAAAGACAAGGTATGTAGCACCAGCACAAGGTGTAGCATGACTGTTTCATTCAAACTCCATCTCTATCCTTGTGACTGAATAAAATATGCAAGCATTAGGAGCAAAAGTTCTAACAGGAGACAGATCCAGATTCAAGCCCTGGCTCAGCATCTTTACTCTCTGGCTGACACTAAGCAAGCCACTTTACCTCCCTGAGCCTCAGTTTCTCCACCTATAAAATGGACATGATAATCTTTGCATTGCCTACCTCCCTGACTCTTGTGAGAATCAAATAAAATAAATAATGCATTCATTCAAAAGCTGAACCTAGATCATGTGTCAAGTTGTGTTGTATACGCTGGGAGACAGAGATAAAGTGGAAGTGCTATGAAAAGGGGCACACAATAACCAATTATTGAGTGCTCACTGTATGCAGCCTCCCACCTGTCATCTCATTTAATCTGCACAATATCACTACCGGGTGGGTACTACTATCAAACCCATTTTATAAATGAGGAAATGGAGGCTCAGAGAGGCTAAGTAACTCACCCAGGGACGTTCAGCTCTTCGGTGACAGGGTGCAGGGCTTTGACTCAGAGCTGGCCATGTCCCAGATGACTGCCTCCCTCCTGGTGCTACACACCTTGAAACACATCAAGACATATCCAACCTCCAGGCTTTGTCTTGCTGTTCCCTTTCCTGGTGGCCCCATCCCACCTTTTTTCTTTTTCTTTTTTTTTTTTTTTGCCTATGGAACTCCTACTCACCTTTCAAGTTTTGGATCAGACTTTAGGAAGTTTCTGGGGCCCCTGACTGGGCCCCTCCTCTGGGCTTCTTCACCACCTAATCAAACCTCTCCCAAGACATTAAGCACACCCACACTCTATCCTGGGCCTCCAAGCCTTTAAAAAAGCATGCCTCTATCAGTAAAAAATATTTACACATATACCCCCAATATAGGCACATTTCTTTTAAAAATATATACACATGCTTCTGTCAATAATGTTAAATATTAGTAAATACTAGTCCTTATTTCTTACAAGAAATAAAGATAAACGCAGAATCCAATCTAATATTTTCCTTTTTTTTTTTTTGTGGTGGATGGCGGGACCCCTGGAACTTCCTATTGTGGTCTAATATTTTCTTCTCGCACCCCATTGACCACTGACAGGTTACAAATCTAACCCAAAGTTTCTGGGGGCACGGTCGAGCTGGTACCTACCTCCTTTAGGCTGCTGGGGGTGTGACTTCTCAGACTTGGGAGTTGAGACCCTTCCCCTCAATGGCCTGGGCTCAGTGGGGGAGGGGAAGGAGTTGAGACCCTTCCCCTCAATGGCCTGGGCTCAGTGGGGGAGGGGAAGGTCGTGGGGGGAGCCCCTCCCGCGGTGACGCCAGGCGGCCACCTTTGAGGCAGGCGGGAGCTGGGGGTGAAGTTGAGCCGGGATTAGCTGGGGCGGGGCGAGGAGGCGCCTAAAGCTGCAGGGCGGCCAGAGAAGGGGGCGCGGACAGGTGAATGCACCATGCCGCTGCAGGACGAAACCCTCCGAGAGGTGTGGGCCTCAGACAGGTCCGGTGGTCCCCACGTCGCTCTACCTGAACCCTGGGGGGCACGGATGGGGGGGGCAGGCAGGGGGAGGGAGACAGGCTGATCCCTTGCCACCCTCAGTGGGCATGAGGAAGACGGCCTGAGCCCGGAGGTCCAGCGACGCCCCAAGCAGGTATGTCACCCCGCTTGGAAAGGAGGCAGAGAGACGTCCCCACTGCGTGTGAACCCACGCAGGGCAGGGGGTCGGGGGTGGGGGCGGGTTCCCCTCGCAGCGTCTAGCGGCTGCGTGTCTGGAGCTTTTGGAGGGAGAAAGGGGAGTTTAGGGGCACACGGTATCCAGGGGAGCAATTGGGGCTTTGGGGCATTGGAGGTGGCCGTGGTGCACAGAAGGGGGCATTCTTCCTCATCCCAAGAAGGGGCTGCAGCTCCCTCCCGATAATCCGCGGTTATTTCTGGCGGCTCAAGGGATTAGAGGGTGATGGGCAGCGCTCAGAGCCCCCCTTTCCTTCCTGGCCCTCCTCTTGACGCCCATTCCGCAGCGACCGGTCCCGGGACAGAAGCTGAGGAAGAAGAAGACGGAGACCCCTGAGTCCCCCCGCCCCACGGGATCCAAGCCCCGGAGACCAGGAGGCGGGCGGGGGGCCGAGCCCGGGGGCGCCCCCCAGGGGGAGGGGCGCGGGAGCGAGAGACCTGCTGAGCCCGGGAGCCCCCCGGGGGGCTGGGGGCAGGGGGAGCTGGAGGGGGAAGGGAGAGGATGGATGAAAGCCAGGGGACGGGTGCTGAAGGTGGGAACGGAGGCCAGCAGAGACCCCCGGGTTAAGAGCCCCAGGGGGCGCGCCCCAGGCTCGGGGGTTGGGTGTCGGGGCGCTGCCTCCCGGAGCCCGGGGCGGGACCCCTCCTGAACCCCGCATCTCGGCTCAGCGGGGCGGAGGGGGAGGCCGCGGGAGGAGGCCACCCCCGACCCGGCCAGGGCGCCGCAGACCGTCTACACCAAGTTCCTCAGGGACCCCGAGGCCAAGAAGCGTGACCCCCGGGAAACCTTCCTGGTAGCCCGCGCCGCAGACGCCGAGGACGGTGAGCGAGGGACCGAGGGACGGGCGGGTAAGGGCGCATGCAGAGAAGGAACGACCGCCCCCCACCCCGGGGGCCAGAAAAGCAGCAAAGACGGCCTCCGTGGCCTTGTCTTTGGGGCAGGTACCAACCTTGAGGTTGTCTCTTCTTCTCCTCCCCCATTTTACAGATGGGAAACTGAGGCACAGGGAGGTTAAGGGTTTTGCCTTAAACTACAGCTAGGAGCCAGAAGTAGCCTGGGTGGGTCCGAATGCAGGTCAGAGACAGACAAGGGCCAGGGGAAGCAGGGTGGGTGCAGCGAGAGGCGGGCAGAGAAGGCAAACCTGGAGCCTGGAGAGTGCAAGCAGGGCAGAGCCACAGAGGGGGGCTTTCACCAGAGGGGGGTTTCCACCAGCTCACTCTCCGAAGATTTGGTGTCACCCTCATTCTTCCAGGAAGGTGCCAACACTCCTTCTCCTGCACCTGTTCCAGAAGGGCAGGCTCCCACCCCTGATGCCCACTCACCACTTCCCAGCAGTCTGGAGGAACTGTGCTCCCCACATAAGGGGGGGACCACCTGAGCCCCCATTATGAGGAGTTTCTACCTACAGAGGAGCAGGAGGAGGAAGAGGACAAGGAGGATGAGGAGGAAGAGGAAGAAGAGGAAAAGAAAGAGAAAATCCCTCTGCCTCCCAAGAAACCCCTGAAAGAGAAGGCTCCTGCTGACTTGAAGGAGAGGAGAGCCAAGGCCCAGGGCCTGAGGGGTGGGTGTTGAGGGTCCAGAGGGAGCACACAGGCCTGCAGCAACAGCCCTGCCTGGGAGGGCTCGGAGTCTCACTGAATCACAGGAGACGAGACCTCAAAAAGTCACCCAGTGGCTTGACCAGAGCGTTTCTTCCCCCTGATGGTCCTTAGGGAGAGAGACCAATACGTGCCCTCCCTCACCCTCACCCTATCCTCTCCCTTACCCCTGCCCAGGGTGCTGGGGGTCGGGGTGTGAAACAGAAGATTTTAGTTTTCTTTGTGATATTTTTAACTCAATTTGAATTATTGTTATAATTTTTATAAAAGTATCAAAGTGATTACAGTAAAAATAAATCAAAGAATCAATGCTGTGATGGCTCCCTGGCCCGGGTACCTCACCCTACAGGTACCAGCAGTCTGGTCTAGATGTGTACTTGGGCCTCTGAGGGAGGGAGAGCTCCTCTGTAGCAGTGCCAGAGGAGGTTTCCTGGAGGATACAGGTGGAAGGCAGGCCTCAAAGGCTCATTTAGAAGGCCTGACATCCATGCACGCATTCATTCATTCATTTATTCATTATTTGGTTACTGCTCATTAAGCTCCTGGTCTTTGTCCAGCGCTTTTTTGGTTGCAGGGAAAACAAGATAAGCAGAAGGCAGACTGTGGGCCCTGGTCAGGCCCTCAGACTCACTGGGGACTAAAGAAAGGATGAGTGGGTTGGAAGGTGTCTTTAAGTCCCAACAGGCTCCTTCTTTGTCTAAGCCCCACCTTCCACTTCCAGGAGACCCAGGAAGCCCTGATCCCCCACTGAAACCCCATCGAATTAAGAAGAAGGATGCTCCAGCAGGGGAGGGGACCAAGATGAGAAAGACAAAGAAAAATGGTGAGCCCAGCGTCAGGAGGAATAGGGGACTCTGGATGTAGTAGGGGATATGACCCTTACACATCCACACATGCAGGGTCTGGGGATGATGACAAGGACCCCTTAGTGAGCCCAGCCAGAGTGAAGAAGAGCCCAGCAGCCATGTTCCTGGTTGGGGAAGGTGGCCCTGCCGAGAAAGCTTTGAAGAAGAAAGGTGGGTGGCAGTGGCTTCTGGTGCCATGACATCTTGAGGTTGTCCTGGGGTGGGGATCTGGGGATCCTTACATCATGTGTGCAGGGCAAGGTAAGGAGTGTGAGCTCTAGAGTCAGAAAATATGGGTGGCATCTTGACCCCCACTTTGACAGCTGTGTGGTCTCAGGTGTCTTAGCCTTTCTGAGTCTCTGATAATAATAATGTGGGGTTGACCCTCTGTGGTTGTGGGGAGGGCCCAAGTGAGACATGGGTGCTGGAAGCACTTTGCAAACCAGGAAAAGAAGTTCACAGCCCTGTGTCCCCCTCCATGCCCAGGAACTCCCAAAGGCCCAGAAGAGGACAGGAAGGAGGAAGAAGAGGAGGAGGAGGAAGCTGTGGTGACCAAGAACAGCAATCAGAAGGGCAAAGCAAAAGGAAAAGGCAAAAAGGTTGGGGCCCAGAGAGGAAGGGGACAAAGGTCCCTTCAGGAAGCAGTGGCAGGGTCTGGACTTGGGAGACCAGACTGTGGGACCTCATGGGCTGGGGCCTTAGAGTCACTTGGGGTTGGATTCTTGGCTCCACCTCTTATGACAGGATATGAGGACAAGGACACCAGGTATGTGAGAATAGAAGTGTTAGCGGGGTGACCAGGCTAGGATAAGTCACTGCAAGGCCTTACGTCATCTGGTGTCTGAGGCCCGCCCCCACAGCATAACCATCAGACATAGCCAGAGTTGCCCATAGCCCCCACGTGAAGAGACACACATTTTCTGTGTCAGGGAGGTGGAGCACACAGGCAGAGAGGCACATGTGTACACACCTTTGGGCACACTGACTGATAGTCAGCTGTACCAGTTGTTAAAATATTTCTACCCTACTGCCCAGAGCTTCCCAAGTGCTTTCTGCCACCCCACCTATGATCTCCCAACCTCCCAGCAGCCAAACAACCCAGCAACTAAAGGGTTAACACCTGGCTGTCAGGGGCCTCCAGGATCCCCCTCAAAGACTACCAGTGTCCATTCTGACCAGGCATTCTCTGTGGGCAGAACAGGCTGTTAAGTATTTTGAATATTGCGCTTGCCCACAAACAGGACTCAGGCACCAACACACACAAGCCAGAGTAAGCAGGACAGGGAGATCCAACTGAGAGACAGAAATTGATGAAAGTCTTTGAGAAATAGGTTTCTGCCAGTGGAGAGATCACTACAAGGGCCTGGGTCTCAGCTTTGCAGGTTTATTAGTTTGTGCAGGAGTGGTCGGGTCTTGGGGCACTGATTCACATTAACCAAGATCACCAGCTGCTGATGTATAACCTGAAAGGCCAGTTTATTATCTCCCGGGGGAACACAACTGCAGAGCAGACTTCAATACAGTAGGTCCTTGAAATTAGCAGCTGTGGAAGTGTTTGAATAAGCTCTGGCTTTCTCCACATCACATTCCAAACATAGTGTTGTTTCCCAAGTTTCTTCTGGAGTAGCCTAGAGTGGAGAACAGATGGTCACTTGCTCCCTGGCTGAGGGCCCGCTGCCCCCCACCGATAGCATCAATCCTCAAAGGCACACACCCAGGCTGGCGGTCCATCTCTCCCCTGCTGGGAAAGTTGGGCTTAGAATCTTGGCTCCCCCTCCTATGAGGGACAGAACATGAAGACAAAGGGCACCAGGTTTGTGAGAACAGAAGGGGCTGTTGTGGGGTCACCAGTCACCCTGGGGCTTTATGTAACCCAATTGTCATTAAGAGTTTCTCAATGAGCAAAGTGAGCTGATTTATTCATTCATGTTTTAATTGTGTATTGCTGTGTAACAAATCATGCCAAAACTTAGTCTCTTAAAACAGCAAACATTTATTTTCTTACTCAATTTCTGAGAGTCAGAAATCTTGGAGCGGCTTAGCAGGGTGGTTCTGGCTCAGGGTCTCACAAGTCAGCATGCCAGCTGGGGCTTCGGCCACTCTGAAAGCTTGACTGGACATGGGACATCCACTTCTAAAATGGTTCACTGTCATGGTTGTTGGCTGAAGGTCTCAGGTCCTTTCCACATGGACCTCTCCTTAGGGCTGCTTGAGTGTTCTTATGACATGGCAGTCAACTTTTCCCAGAGCCCAAGAAAGAGAGTCCGGCAGGAGGCACAGTATTTTTTAATGGCCCAGCCTTAGAAGTGGCCTACCATCACTTCTGCCAGTCTGTTGGTCACAAAGACCAACACTGATACACTGTGGGAGGGGACTACACAAAGGCCTAAACACCAGGAGGAAGGGATCATTGGGGGCACCTTGGAGGTTGGCTACTACATTCATTATTTAGTATATGCTAACAATGACAGTAGCCGACACCTCTGTAGTGCTTCCTATGTGCTTAGAACACAGCAGTCCATTCCGTCAGCCTCGGTTCACCCCTTGAGCTAGTGTCCACATGGGAGAAGTTCTGTCTAAAGACTCTAGATCTAAAAGGAGGGGCCAGCCCGTGGCTCACTTGGGTGAGTGTGGTGCTGACAACACCAAGTCAAGGGTTAAGATCCCCTTACCAGTCATCTTTAAAAAAAAATTAAAATAAAATAAAAATAAAAGGAGATAGGACAGAACTCAAACCCCAACTCCAGCTCTCACTAGTTACGTGAACTCAAGTAAGTGACTTAACTTTTCTAAGCTACAGCTTCTTTATCCTTACGATGGGGACAACTAACTCTGGGTTGACACGGGAATTAAATGAGTTAATATTTGGAAATTACTTATACTATGGCACATTGGTATAGTTTATATGAGTGTTCATTAAATATGTAAATTAAATAAAGTCTGTCGTAGATATCCAACCCCACCATACCTACTTCTCAGATGAAAAATTGAGTCACAGTGTGGTTAAAATGTAATAAACATGACAGACAGTTAGTGGAGGAATCAGGATTTGAACCCAGACTGTCTGGCTCCAGAGCTTGGGCTCTTAACCACAAGCTAAACAAAACCATAATACGCACAAATCTTCCTCAGAGCCTAACGTGACCGTGCTGGGCTGCTGAGGAAGTGTGAAGGGCAAAGGTGTCCCAGCCCCAAGGGACGTGGGCCCTGCTGTCCCAGCCCCAAGGGACGTAGGCCCTGCACTAACTGGCCTCTCTGTTCTCTCTGCACACAGAAAGTGGTGAGTTGTCCTGCCTGCCCTGCCTATGTCCCAGCGCTGGGGAGCAGCTGAGGTGGGGAGCTGGTGCTCTGGGGCTGATGAACCCTCTACCCCCACCCAGAAGGAGGAGAGGGCCCCGTCTCCACCCGTGGAAGTGGACGAACCCCAGGAGTTCGTGCTCCGGCCTGCCCCCCAGGGCCGGACAGTGCGCTGCCGGCTGACCCGGGACAAGAAGGGCATGGATCGGGGAATGTATCCTTCCTACTTCCTGCACCTGGACACGGAGAAGAAGGTGGGTAGGAAGAGGTGGTGGAGGGTGAGGTGGGATGGGGCGGTACCATGACCCAGGCTGAGGGAGGGTCTAGGGCCAGGACGAACAGGTCTCTTCCCCCTCAATCCTCTACCCCATCTTCTACCCTGTTCTCCCACCTCACTCCCCTTCTCCCCAGGTATTCCTATTGGCTGGCAGGAAACGGAAACGGAGCAAGACAACCAATTACCTCATCTCCAGCGACCCTACCAATCTGTCCCGAGGAGGGGAGAACTTCATCGGGAAGCTGAGGTAGGGCTGGGCTTCCTGGGGTTGGGGGGCTTGGGTCAGCAAGGAAGGCCACAGTCATCTCTGTCCCATTGTGCCTGGCAGAGTGCTCACCCTGCAAATGTCTCCTAGTCCAGGCCTTATCACGCTTGGAGGTGCCCAGATCACACGGGGATCTTTGTTAACATGGTTCAGTGGGAGGAGCTCTGTGGGGTGGGCCTGAGAATCTGCATTCTAACAAGCACCCAGGTGATGCCCACACTGCCCGTCCAGAAACCTTGCTTGGAGCAGGGCATAAGCTCCATGAGGGCAGGGACCATGCTGTCCTGCTGATGGTTGAATTCCTAGCACCTGGTACATAGTAGCCACTCAACAAATACTTGCTGAGTGAATGAACACAAATATTCAGCACTGCTCTGTGCTATGTCTCCCCATATATCTCATCTAATCCTCACCACAAATCTGAGAGTGGGGTGGGAGGAGGTGAACCCCTGAGTAGGCCTTATTTCTTTTATTTACATATTTAGCAAAACGTATACAAGGCATACCTATGTGTCAGGTGTAGTTCTAATTAACTTCCAAATATTAACACACCCAATCCTCTTACCAACCAAATAAGAGATACTATTATGCCTGTTTTATAGATGACAGAGTTGAGGCTCGGAGAGTTTAATTTGCCTAAGGTCCCCACAGCTAGTAAGAGATGGAGCTGGGATGTGAACGTTGCCTGGGCGTTCTCCTTGTAGATCCAGCTTTCAAAAAGGGGGAAGCCTGGAGATATGAATTGTTCAGTCCTAAGACACCCCACCCTTACGTAGAAGCTCTTCAAACTGCTTGGCTGTGAGGAAGGGTACTAGGGAAGGGATGTGGAATCCCCCAGCCCCACCCTATTCGCAGGTCCAACCTCCTGGGGAACCGCTTTACTGTCTTTGACAACGGGAAGAACCCGCAGCGAGGAGGAGGCAGCGGTGATGTGGGGAGCCTCCGGCAGGAGCTGGCAGCTGTGATCTATGTGAGAACTCCACCTGTCCCCCATGCCGGGCTCCTCCCCTTACAGGGGCCGGCCTAAAGGGCATCTCCCTCCCAGGAAACCAACGTGCTGGGCTTCCGCGGTCCCCGGCGCATGACGGTCATCATTCCCGGCATGAGTGCAGACAACGAGAGGGTTCCCATCCGGCCCCGAAATGTGAGCCCGCACCTGCCTGACCCGTCCCTGAGAGTCCTGCTCCCAATGCGACCCACCCCGGGACAGCAGGGGGTGGGGACTCAGCTCACCCAATACCCAGCCCTTTGAGCACACTCGACCTCCAGCACAAATTCATTCTGGCAATTTGTGGAATGAATTCAGGTTTTTTGTAACTGAATTCACGGAAACAACCACAGTGGGTTTTTTTTTGGGGGGGGGGTTGTTTTCCATTTTACTTCAAATCATTCATGTATTAATTGAACACACATATGTATATTGAGTCAAGTATTATTCTAGGCACCTGAAAACATCAGTTTACAAAACAGAGATCTGCCCTCTTGTAGCTGGTATTCTAGTGGAAGGAAACACTGTAGACAACAACTGTGATACCTTTTTTGTTTTTTGGTAGCTGGTGTGTGTGTGCGTGTGTTTGTTTTTTGGTAGCTGGTGTGTGTGTGTGTGTTTGTTTTTTGGTAGCTGGTGTGTGTGTGTGTGTGTGTGTCTGGGGTTTGATCCCTGTACTGGCCAGCTGCCAAAAAGAAACAAATCTTTTAAAAAATTAAACAGAGTGGTCAGAGTGGGCCTCAGTGGGAAGGTGAGGGGGCCAGACTGAAGATATCCGGGGGAAGAGCATCCAGGCAGAGGGAAGAGCCAGTGCAAAGGCCCTGAGGCAAGACGGTGCCTGGTGGGTCTGAGGAAAAGCAAGGTGGCCAGTGCCGCCGGCCGGAGGGGGAGGAGGTCAGAGAGGTAAGAGTGAGGGGCAGAGAGGGCCTATATAACTGGTTTTTACTCTGAGAGAAATGGAAAGCCACAGCAGGGTTTTGAGTGAAGGAGTGCCATGTTTTACATTTTAAAAAGCAAAGGTGTGTGTGTGTGCAACGTGTGGTAAGATGGGGAGACGTGGCCTCCCTCAGGGTCTTGTGCTCTTTGCTCCTTAGCGTTGCAGGTTGGTGAGCACAGGATTTCAGGGATGGGATGACTCTCACACCCCACACTCACAGGATATTGATGTCACTGTACTCATTTACAATGAAAAATAATACCCCTGTCAGCTGACCATGCATCCTTCCCTGCTGGAAAGCCACCTGAGGCCAGCTGACGCGTGGACACCAACCACGGAAGGCTGGGTCTTAAGAGTTCATTCACTTGGCTGTGGGGCCCGCGGTTGCTCCTTCCATGCCTGGAATAAACCCACAAATCCTCCAGAGGCAGCACCTCCCGTCTTTGGGCTTTGTAAGAAGCCCAAAGTGCTGCTCTGGGTCTCTCTTCATCATCCCACAGTTCATTCATTTTGCAATCATTTATTAAACACACACTCTGTGCCAGGCACTGGAGGTCCAAAATCAACACAACAGTTATCAAGATAATATCTGGTATTTACTGAGTACCCATTCTGTGCCAGCAACTGCTCTAAATAACACTCCATCCCAGGCCAGCCAGCCACCAACAAAAAAACCCCCAAAACTCTATGTGCTATTAACTTACTTAATCCTCAGAACACCCTTTTGTGAGGGAAACTGAGGCACAGAGAAGTTAATAAAATACTGTTCCTGCCCTTAGAGTACCTAATTCTATCCATTACAGTGCAGTGGGAAGAATGGTAAGAGCAAGGTGTCATGGCAGCTCAGAGCTGAGACATCGATCAGATTGTGGGGTCAGGAAGGCTTCTGGCCGAAGGTGATCTTGAGTGGACTCACTCTGAACCAAGAACATGAACTGGTGACAGGACACTCAGGAAATAAATATCTCAAGAGCACATCATGCAGACACTGCTCCTTCCTTTCAGGAACTCAACTCCAGGGACACTTTGTTTCAATCGCTAAACAGTCCATCTTCCCAAGCTCAACTGTGCGCTCCTTGCAGCTCCTAGGACATCCTTGTAATCAGGTGACAGCATGTGGCCATGTCCTAAGACCCTTTGGGTACCAGTGCACGAAGCACCTACTGTGTGCAAGATGCCCCTTTCTACTTTCCAGCCCTCCACTTTGGCATCCCACAGACAAAGACCCACTCTCACAAGTGTTTACCCTGCTCACAAGGACATGACAGATGCCAAACATGCTCTCACAGATACCCTGAATGGACATCGACATCCAAACTGCACACAGGAAGGGCACACACAGGTGCCCAGGCCCTTCGTCCGGTCAGCCCTGAGCTATGTTGGCCCCCTCTAACTACCCTCTCCCTATCTACTCCTCCTCGGATACCCCAGGCCAGTGATGGGCTGCTGGTGCGCTGGCAGAACAAGACCCTGGAGAGCCTCATCGAGCTGCACAACAAGCCACCTGTCTGGAACGAAGACAGTGGCTCCTACACCCTCAACTTCCAAGGCCGGGTCACCCAAGCCTCAGTCAAGAACTTCCAGATTGTCCACGCTGATGACCGTGAGTATCTGAGGGCGCAGGTCAGGCTGTTCCCCACCACCCCCAGGACCTCAATCCTCACTCAGTCTTTTCTGCACCATCTCTGTCTCTGTCGCACACATACCAGGCTGGTCCTAGCCTTTATCCCTGGAACTGGAACATCCAGCAAGGTCACTCCTCCATGGGTGTTGACACTGCTCCCAGAAACCTCAGATATTACAAGCAGGTGTCTTAGGGCTCATTTTCCAGGTTTTATTCCAGCACTGGCCAGAGTCATGGAGTAGATAATAGAACATTCTGGGTAAGATTGTGTTGAAGGGAGGGTTGAGCTGCTGGAGTCTGAAAACCACTGAGAGCCCAAACTCTCTGTGGTCAAAGAGGGTGCTGAGGCTCAGAGAGGGCAGCCTTTGCCCAGGGTCTCTTAGCTCCTGCAGGCAGTTACACTGGCCCTCAAAATTTATTTCACAAAACTTACAGTGCTTTCTATGTGCCAGGCACAGTCCTCGGGAATTTACAGATATTGAATCAATAAACCCTTTCTTTTTTTTTTTTTTTTTTCCTTTTTTTGTCTTTTTTCGTGTCCGGCAACGGACCGCAACCC